TAAGTTAATAAATTAACTTGGGGAAACTGGCATCTCTATGAAATTGAGTGTTCTTACTCAGGAACATCATGGTTTTTTTTTCTGTTTGTCCAAGCCTAGTTTTGCATTCTGTATAGGTTTTGAATATTTGACTCAGTTCTGTTGTACTGTTTATACATGTAACATAAATATACAATTATTTATATAACTTTACATGAAATAAAATTTTACTAGGTATTAAACTGGATTGTTGGTTTTATTTGCTCTCTCTTTTTAGTTGGTACTTAGAATTGTTATAGGTTTATTATTATTATTACTGAGACAGAGTCTCTCTGTCACCAGGCTAGGGTGCAATGGTGCAATCTTGGCTCACTGCAACCTCCGCCTCCTGGGTTCAAGTGATTCTCCTGCCTCAGCCTCCGGAGTAGCTGGGATTACAGGTGACCATCACTACACCCAGCTAATTTTTCTATTTTTAGTAGAGGTGGGGTTTCTCCGTGTTGGTCTAGAACTCCTGACCTCAGGTGATCCACCCACCTCGGCCTCCCAAAATGCTGGGATTACAGACGTGAACCACCACGCCCGGCCTAGTTTTATTCTAATGGTTATATTTATACTTTTGTTTTCTTTTTTAAAAAATAGGGTCTCACTCTGTTGCCCAGCCTGGAGTGCAGTAGTGCAGTTTCAGCTCACTGCAGCTTTGACCTTATGAGCTCAAGGGGTCCTCCTGCCTCAGCCTCCTGAGTAGCTGGGATTACAAGTAAAAGCCACAGCGTCCAGCTTATGCTAACTTTTTTTTTTTTTGGCTTTTAAAATAAACTTTATTTTTTAAAGTTAGTATGTGCATTACAGGAAACTGAAAAACACAAGAAGCAAAGAACAAAGTCATTCAAAATCACAAGCAGTTTATAGTTTGACATGTTCTTCTAGATCGTGTGTGTGTGTAGGCACAACATCCAATTTTATGGGACTGAGATTGTACGGTATGTATCATGATTTTTCACACATCATGAATATTTACCAATTCAAAATCCCAAAGCCATATGAGTATTTTGATAACCAAGAATACACTACACCAACTCAAACTGCTAAAAAAAAAAAAAAAATGTAATCCTGCCTTTCTTGGGACAAAAATTTCATAGAAGACAAAAATGGCAACACGCCTCTAGATAAAAGCATTGGCAGAGTTCCGATTTAAATGCTGCATTCCCTTAATGCTCAATTTAAAATGAACCACACAGCAACAGAATATACTAAGTATAACGTTTTTAAGAGAATTCATTAGCAGATCTATACCATTAAAATATTAGCAAAGTATACTTCCATTGAGTTAATGTATTTCTATAGTACAGCCAAAAGAGATTCATACATCAATGGCTATCAAAATGTAAATATGGACATACATGGACACATCTCCATACACCTCTTCCTGTATACTTCCTTCTGCCCCTCTGCTGCCAACCTAATGAACAAGTAAGTCCTGACATACACTGCTCAGAGGTGGCTTAACAATTCCATGTCCAAGATGCATCTTTCTATCAATTATAACAAAGGTATTTACAAATTGGCTAATTCACTAGCTTAGTTTTTATCATAAGTTGTCACTCCATTCATAAAGCTCAGATGTTACAAAATAATGAACTTTGTCCACAATGAACACAGGCACTTTACTAAAAACGCTCATATAGACCTGTGGTTATCATCTAAAACCATCGTCTAGATAGAAGATACTAGCAAAGAGCCCTTCCCTTCACCCTTCCTCGTCTCCCTCTTCCACCATCCCAGTGACTAAGTATAGGATGTCTAGCTCCAAGAGGTGAACTCATAAAGGTCACTCCCAGAACACAGGCCTTCCTAAAATATAACAAAAGGACATTCACAAAGGGACTGGTTTACTACATCTATTTTTAACATACTTTGAGCATTAAGACTTATCCTTTAATACACAATATTAACTAAAATGCACATATAGAACAATGGTTAGACCATCTGAACTAATCTCAGGAGCACAGAACCCTTCTCCCTGCATACCTCCTCCCCCCTCACCCCAACCACCCAATGAAGTCTGCATTCGCTCCCAAACATCATGTTTTTTTTTCTTTTTATTTATTTATTATTTTTTTAAATTTTATTTATTTATTATTATTATACTTTAAGTTCTAGGGTACAGGTGCATAACGTGCAGGTTTGTTACATATGTATACTTGTGCCATGTTGGTGTGCTGCACCCATCAACTCGTCAGCACCCATCAACTCGTCATTTACATCAGGTATAACTCCCAATGCAATCCCTCCCCCCTCCCACCTCCCCACAATAGGCCCTGGTGTGTGATGTTCCCCTTCCCGAGTCCAAGTGATCTCATTGTTCAGTTCCCACCTATGAGTGAGAACATGCGGTGTTTGGTTTTCTGTTCTTGTGATAGTTTGCTAAGAATGATGGTTTTAACAATTCCATTCCCAAGTGCAACCACTCCTAGGAAGTACTGAAAACAAACGCTTAGAGGGGTGTTACTTAAGCCCTCTACTTTTAACCTACATTGTGCACCTTTTTTTTGAAACGGAGTCTTGCTCTGTCGCCAGGTTGGAGTGCAGTGGTGCGATCTCGGCTCACTGCAACCTCCGCCTCCCAAGTTCAAGCGATTCTCCTGCCTCAGCTTCCCGAGTAGCTGGGACTACAGGTGCACACCACCACGACCAGCTAATTTTTGTATTTTCAGTAGAGATGTGGTTTCACCACGTTGGCCAAGATGGTCTCGATCTCTTGACCTCATGATCCACCTGCCTCGGCCTCCCAAACTGCTGGGATTACAGGCATGAGCCACTGTACTAGGCCGTTGTGCACTTTTAAACACCTAGAAAGACTAGATGTTTCAAACTGGACTTAAGTTTTCCATTATATACACAGTAGCATTGAATAAATGGTATACATACATAACACAGACTATAATTTGAGTGTCTTCTAAATAGGAACATTCTGGCCTAGAACCCTTCCCTTTCCCACCTCTACCAACCCGGTGGACAGCTATAAGCCATCTGTAATGCTTAGGGGGGATTTTAACAATTTCCCTTCTGTTTTTAAGAAGTCTTCCCTGTGAATTTTAACACAAAGTGTACTCGATGTATTAGTTTACTAATTCTACTTTTGTCATACACTGGCAACCTCTTTAACATCGACTAGATGTAAATTAGGACTCCTATGTCCACTTATATACACTATATACACAGCACAGTAAATGAAAATGCAGACACAAGGGACAATGGTCAATGTGCCTCCTCTTAAACACACTGGACACTGGTAGAAAGCCCTTTGCACTTTGTGCTCCTCCTTCCCCCTGAACCAGCACAAATATCTCAAAATGTGTACTGCTCAGAGAATTGATCAGTTTCCAAGACAATATTTCATATCAAAAGGATAGCTACAAAATGTGTTATTTACTACCTCTACTTTTAACATACTTTGTGCACTTCTAAACATCTAGAAAGACTAGATGTTTCAAATAAGGACTTAAGTTTGTCTGCTATATATACAGTAGTGTTGAATAAACTACACACAGGTAACAATGGTTATATCTCAAAGTGTCTTCTAAATAGGAACATTCTGGTCTAGAACCCTTCATTCCTTCCAACTCCTCTCCACCACCAACCTGGTGGATATAGGCACGTGTCACTTAGAGCTGATGTTATCATTTCACTTCCAAAAGTCCTTTTCAGAAGACAGCCTTTCTACAAATTTTAACAAAGTGTACAAAATGTGTTAGTTTACTAACTCTACTTCTGTCATACATTGGCAACCTCTTTAATATCTAGAGACTAGATATTACAAAATCGGGACTCATTCGTCCAGTATATACACAATATATACAGTATAGCAAAGTTAAATGAAATGCATGTAACATATAGGCAATGGATTAAGCTGAAATGTTCTAATAAACAATGGCAAAACACCTTTTGCAGTTTTTTCCTTCCCACCTCCCAGGTGGTTCAACAATTCCACTTCCAAACAGCATTTCCCATCAGTTTTTAAAAGCTATTTACAAAAAGTGTTATTCTACTACCACTTTTAAATACATCAAGCACTTCCTTCCAAATATCTAGAAAGACTAGATATTTCATATAACTTGTTCACCACATACACAGCACTGTTAAATAAAATTGCACACATATAACAATAGTTACCATCTGAGGTATCTTCTAAATGTGGCCATTTTGGCCTTGAATCATTCCCTCCTCTCTTCCTTCCTTCTCTGTCTTCAATCCAGTGGACAAGTACAGGAAAGTGTAATGCTCAGAGATGGTTGAACAAATTCCTATGCAAAAGTCATTTACAGAAGACAAGTTTTCCTATGAATTTCAACACAAAGCATACAAAATATGCTAATTTTACACTTTGTCATACACTGGCAACCTCTTTAACATCTAGAGACTAGATGTTGAAAAATTAGGACTATTTGTCCATTATATACACTATATACAGAGCAAAACAAAATGCACAAAACATACAGAAAAATGTCTGAAAATGTCCAAGTATGAACACACTAGTATATTACCTTTTGCAATTTCTTCCCTCCCACCTCCTCTAAACCATTGAACAAGTATAGACATTACTACACTGCTCACAAAGGTGGCTTCACAATTCAATTTCCAAAAGTATTTCCTATGAATTTTAGCAAAAAGATATTTACAAAGTGGTATTTTACTACCTCTACATTTAACATACATCGGGCACTTCTAAACATCTAGATAGACTAAATGTTTCAAGTAAGGAGTTAATTTGTCCACTATATACATAGCAGTCTTGAATAAACTGCAAACATGTAACAACACTTATAATTTAAAAGTCTTCCAAATGTGAACATTCTGGCCTAGAACCCTTCCCATCTCCATCAACCCAGAAGACATCAAATTTTCAGAAGACAATCTTTCCTAGGACTTGTAAAACAAAATGTACAAAATATATTAGTTTAAACTCTCCTTTGTCATACACTGGCAACCTCTTTAACATCCAGAAAGACTAGATATTGTCAATTAGGACTCGTCTGTCCTTTATGTACACTATATACACAGATAAGTAAAACAAAATGCACAGAGATAATGATTCATCTTGCCTCGCTGCAAGCAGGATGGCATAGAGCTCTCTGCACCTCCCCCTCTTCTCTCCTCCCCTGAACCACTGCACAAACACAATGAGTATTACTCAACAGGTGACTTGGCCATTCCCCCCAAAAAACATTTCCTATGAATTGTAACAAAAAGATACTTACAAAATGTTATTTTGCTACCTCTAATTTTAACATATATCAGGCACTTCAGAACATCTAAAAAGAATAGACATTTCAAAAAAGCTTAGCATTGTCAACTATATACACAGTAGTGAGGAATAAAATTCACACAAAACAATGGATAGAATATGAAAATGTCTTCTAAATATGACCAGTCTAGCATAGAACCTTCTTTTCTTTCTCACGTCTTCCAGCTCGATGTCATCTAACCCACTTAACGTGGACGTATCGCTTCCAGAGGCCGTCTAACAACTTCATTTCCAAAAGTCATCTCCAGAAGACACGTATTTTCTATGATTTCTTTTAAACAAATGAGAATTTACAAGATGTGTGACTTTCTAACTCTACTTTATCATACGTCGGCAACCTCTTTCCATCTAAAAGGGCTAGATGTGACAAATGTTTTCTATTAAAAGGTTGGGGTGGAGTTGAGAGCAGCTTTTTCATATTATATACACAGGCCTTCTAAAATCGGCCAGTAAATCTTCCCAGAGGGTGGCGGGCATTTCCAGCGGGCCAAACATGGCCTGTCATTCTACCATTTCTCTCTTCCAACAGCAAAATCTGGTAGAACGAAGACCAACTGCCCGATGGCCGCTAATCGTTCCACCCGGTCGTCGTTTGGGACTTCGCTCACCTCCCAGGTCCGTTAAGGCCTTTGTCCGTTGTCGTCAGGACTAGGTAGGTTTCGGCCAATGGCGACAGAGTGGTCACCCGGGAACCGGATCTGCGCGGCTTCGTGGCCTAAAGAGGCAGCTGAGCCTGCCTGCGTCCCTAGGCCGCCTTCCTGGGCCCTACACGCCCTAATGGCCTCCGCCGCGCGGCCGCCATGCTTCCCGGCCCGCCACGCCCGCCGCCGCCCAAAGGCGCTGCGTCCCGGCGGCTCTGCGGGGGTTTCGTTGAGGCCCGGCAGGCTTAGGCCGGGAGACCCGGCGGCCGGCCGGGTCCGGGCCTGGAGAGGCCGCCGCCGCCATCAGTCACCGAGGTGGGGTGGGGAAGAGAGGTTCGCGGCGGCTTCAAGGCCTGGGCACAGCCAGCGGGCAGCCGCAGCAGAGGCCTCCGGTATCTGCATGGCACAGGGCTCGGCCTGTCCCGGGGCCCCCCAGTTCACCCGCCGGCCCAGGGCCGGAGGGCCTGGAGGGCCCTGAAGGAGTGGGCCGCGTTCTGCTTCTCTCTGCGTTCTCTGCCGACCGGAACTCTTTTTTTTTTTTTTTTTTTTTTTGAGACGGAGTCTCGCTCTGTCGCCCAGGCTGGAGTGCAGTGGCGCGATCTCGGTTCACTGCAAGCTCCGCCTCCCGGGTTCACACCATTCTCCTGCCTCAGTCTCCCGAGTAGCTGGGACTATAGGCGCCCGCCACCATGCCCAGCTAATTTTTTGTATTTTAGTAGAGAGTGGGTTTCACCATGTTAGCCAGGACGGTCTGGATCTCCTGACCTCGTGATCCGCCCGTCTCGGCCTCCCAAAGTGCTGGGATTACAGGCGTGAGCACCACGCCTGGCCGCTTATGTTAACTTCTTAACTAACCTGCTTAATATACTTGATATGGAAAAAAAACCCTCTTAATAATGGATAGAGAAATGAGCAAATGATATTAACAGATAATTCATATAAAAAGCAGTATAAGGCCACGGACGGTGGCTCATGCCGGTATATAATCCCAGCACTTTGGGAGGCCGAGGCTGGAGGATCACCTGAGGTCAGGAGTTGGAGACCTGCCTGGCCAACATGGAGAAACCCTGCCTCCAATAAAAATACAAAAATTAGCCTGGTGTGGCGGCGGGCGCCTGTAATCCCAGCTACTCAGGAGGCTGAGGCAGGAGAATCGCTTGAACCCAGGAGGCAGAGGTTGCAGTGAGCCGAGACTGCGCCACTGCACTCAGGCCTGGGCGACAGAGCAAGGCTCTTTCTCAAAAATAAATAAATAAATAAATAAACATTATACGTACTCATTAAACTTTAAAAAAATGTGTCAAATTACAAAAAGTGCAGAAATGCAAAACAATATTCCGGGCTAACATGCTGAGTTAAAAAGCCAAATTTAATGTGATCTCAGTTTTTTTGTTTGTTTATATTTTGTTTGTTTTGTTTTGAGAGAGTCTCATTCTCTCACTCTGTCGCCCAGGTTGGATGCGGTGGTGTGGTCGTGGCTCACTGCAACCTCCGCCTCCTGCGTGCAAGTGATTCTCATGCCTCAGCCTCTTGAGTACCTGGGATTACAGGCGTGCCGCACCACCCCTGGCTAATTTTTGTATTTTTAGTAGAGACGGGGTTTTGACATGTTGGCCAGGCTGGTCTTGAACTCTCAAACTCCTGATCTCATGTGATCTGCCCGCCTCAGCTTCCCAAAGTGCTGGAATTACAAATTTATTTGGCTTAATAAACAGCAAGACTAGTCAGATAAACCCTGCAAAAGAAGAAAGTGAAGGGAGGGAGCCCTACCAGGTACTAATGCATATAATAAAGTATGTGCAATATACAAGTATGACACTGGCTCATAAATAGACAGAAAAAGCTAATAAAATAGAGAAAATACTGATATTGTATTTATATTCTAGTATTACATTTGGAAATTTGTTAATAGCATGTGATTAAGGTGCATTTCAAATCATTGAAGATATGATTGATAATTTCAGAAGTGGTGTTCTGATAGCTAGCAAACCAAATAGTTATAAAGGCAAAAAGGGATTCATTTTACATCAGAATAAATTCCAAAGGGTGCAGATTTTAATGTAAAACATGAATGCATACAAATATTAGGAAAAAACACTGGTGAATTCCTCTATCATGAGGAAGTGAAGAACACTTTCATAACTATGACTCAAAATCCAGGTGCATTAAGGAAAAAAGGTTGATACATTTAACAAAATTAAAATAACAACAGCCACATTGTATGACAAAAAACATGGTATACAACTAAAAGATATCTAAAATATTCTCAACTAATATTTCTAAGAAAGTGTTGCTATCCATTCTATGTAAAAGCTTATAAATATAAAGCCATTAAAAAACAACAACCCTATCAAAGACTTGTAAGAACCATAAACAGTTAATGGAAGAAAATGCAAAGAAACTCAAACTTGGTTCTAGTAAGAGAGATATAATTAAAGCTATACTAAGTACCATCCTTCACCTATTAGATTGTCAAATATTCATAGGTTTGTCAATTCACTTAGTTCATGAGGGAGTGCAAAAAGGCACGTGCTTTTGTACATTGCTCACAGGGATGGAAAATGGTATGATCAAAGTAGAAGGCTTAATACTGGCCCCCAAAGATGTAAGGTCTCACTGCTTGAAGACTGATAATATTACTCATAGGAAAAGGATCTTGGCAAATGGGATTACGTTAAGAATCTTGAAATGGAGAGATTATATACTCGACTATCCAGATAGTCCCTAAATGCAATACCAAATGTTCTTATAAGAAAGAGGCAGTGGCCGGGCACGATGGCTCACACCTGTAGTCCCAGCTACTCGGGAGGCTGAGGCAGGGGAAACGCTTGAACCCGGGAGGCGGAGGTTGCAGTGAGCTGACTCCCTCTATAAAAAAAAGAAGCAAGGCTGGGCGCGGTGGCTCATGCCTGTAATCCCAGCACTTTGAGAGGCCGAGGTGGGCAGATCACGAGGTCAGGAGATAGAGACCATCCTGGCCAAGGTGGTGAAACCCTGTCCCTACTAAAATACAAAAAATTAGCCGGGCATGGTGGTGCACGCCTGTAGTCTCAGCTACTTGGGAGGCTGAGGCAGGAAAATCGCTTGAACAGGGGACCCTGAGGTTGAAGTGAGCCAAGATTGCGCCACTGCACTCCAGCCTGGCAACAGAGCGAGACTGAGAGAGAGGAGAGAGAGAGAGAGAGAGAGGAGAAAGAGAGGAAGGAAGGAAGGAAGGAAGGGAGGGAGGGAGGGAGGGAGGGAGGGAGGGAGGGAATTGACACAGATAGAACAGTAGAAGGCAGTAAGGCAGTGTGACCAGGTATGCAGAAATTGGACCAATGAAGCTACAAACCAAGGAATGCTGGAAAACCAGAAACTAGAAAAGGCAAGAAATTGATTATTTCCTAGAGCCTCTGGAAAAAGGATGGTCCTGCTGATACCTTAGTTTTGGCCCAATGAAACTGATTTTGAACTCTGGCCTCCAGAACTGTGAAAATAAATTTCAGCTGTTTATAGACACTAATTTTGTGGTAATTTGTTACAGTAGCCGTAGAAAACTAACACAACCACTATGGATGGGAATTTGCTAATATCTACCAAATGCCCTGTGGCACTATTTGAAGAACAAAAGAATGGAAAAATGTAAATACTCATCATTGTAGGGTGCATGAAATACTATCATATAACCACACAAAGGTGGACACTAAGTTAGATGTAAAGAAAACTGATGAAAATCTCCAAATAGTGCTTTGGATATAAAGTAAAAAAAAAAAAAAATATATATAAAGATGTGAGTAGCATGATACTTTTTAATGTAAGAAGGGGGAATGCAAAAATATATACTTTTTTTTACTTGTATTAAAAATAAAGAAAAGGACTTCTGTTTGGGGGATGAGATGAAATAGATACACTTCTCAGTACTATTTCTGCTGAGCATGGCTAAAACCTCTCAATATTTTAAGTAAAATAAACATAAGACTCTGAAAGGCTACCTCTAGACAAAGAACCAGAAAAGGGGACATGTAGTAAAAAAGCAAGCTTTTAGACTCTAACTGCCCTGTTTTAGCAAAGGACAATGGAATAAAACACAGCTCCACCCCCACAATGCCAGCAGACTGAGTGGGGAGCATTGATTCCATACTCATCAGATTGTAAACACTCACCCATCTCTACCCTTTGGGGTGATACCAGAGAAGACTATGTGGAGAACAAGTACTTTCATCCTCACCTGGTAGAAATGAATAACCCCCAATGGTGTCAGTGGACACCATGCAAGAAACTTGAGTTGTGCCCACACTCAATGATAATGAGATGCCCCTTCTCTTCTTTTCTGGGCTGGAGTCACCAGAAGTTGAGTGGGAAGGTGAAACGTTTATGATCATCCAGTAATACGGGGCTTTCTTATCTTCACAGGGTCAGTGGAAGCTACATAGAGAACAGTTACAATGTGTCTTCCCCCTCCTGCCAGGATGGTGTCAGTGGAAGCCTGGCAGGGAGTGAAATTTCACCTCTGCCAAGCAGTAACAAGGAGACACTTCCCTTCCAATCTCACACCTGCCCCCTCCACAGTGTTAGTGGAGGCTGAGTGGGGAACCTAGACTTTTATCTCCACCCAGCAGTAATAAGCTCTCCCTATTCCCCTCCACACACACCATGGTGTCATTGGAGGCCACACAGGAAATAGCAAGGAGGCGTGCTGCTCTTCCTAGCCAGAGTAGTGTAGATGGAGGCCTAGTGAGAATCCTGAAACCCATCTCTCCTAAGCAGTAATAAGGCACCACTTCCCCTCCCACCCTCCAGCCCCTGTGTCAGAGAGATTTGAGTAGTGAATCTGGATTTTCATTTAAATAGCATCCGGAGTTTCATAACATGATACCAAAAATATTTAGGATATAATTTAAAAATCTATCTTTGAGAATCTGGAAAATCTAAAATTGAGAAAGAAAATACAATCAATGGATACCAACACCAAAATGACATAGGTGTTGGAATTATCCTATGTGGATTTTAAAAGCAGTCATCATGAAAAAGCTTCAGTGAGCAAATAAGATGTTCCAAACTGTGCTAATACCACAAATCAAATGCTGGAAAGCAATGAAAATACTGAAAATCTTAACAAATAAAGATATATAGGAGAACCAAATGGAACTTTAGAACCAGAAAATACAATAACTGAAATAAAACTCAGTGGGCGGGGTGTGCTTGGGATGCAGCTGTAATCCTAGCTACTCAGGAGGCTAAGGTGAGAGACTCCTTTGAGACAAGGAGTTCAAGACCATCCTGGGCAATATAGTGAGACCCCATCTCTAAAATAAAGTAAACACTCAATGAATGGATGCAACAGCATAATGGAGAGAAAAGAGAAAAGAATCGGGGAACTTGAATATAGAGAAACAGAAATTAACCCTTTTGGAAAGAGAGGATACACTAAAAATACAGAACAAAGCCTCAAGAACCTGTGGGACTATGACAAAAGATATATTTGTGTCATTTTTGTGTTGGAAGGAGAAGAGAAAGAGTGCATGAGCGAAAAAGTATTTG